TTAATTAAGCTATGTTGTGAAATATTCAGCATTTGAACCTGTTCTGGCCTGCCTGCTTTTATCATTGAATTACCATCTTTAATTTGTTTCTCTGCTGAAAGATGAATTTCACTTAAGGATTACTGTACACTGCTCTGGCATTTTGTGGTTTCTTGTCAGCCCTTGTGAATCTAGATCATAGCTAACTTCAGTTCCTCTGACATGTCCTATATGCACAGTCTCTTGACTAGCCTGTCTCAGTGGATTTATTATCTCATATTGTGTTCTGGTAGAAATGAATGGACATTTTAGATTAACTTAATGATAAGAGATTTCAGATGACAGTAGAGTTTACTTTTGGAGCTAACTTCAGGTTATGTAGGGCACAGTAGATATCTACTGACCTATCACTTAATAGAAATGCATTTTGAAAGTTTCAATGCTGAATGGACTTTAGTCTGCCAAATACTATGAAATATTGCTAAGAAGGAGGCACTTTCTAGGGTATCTGAGATCTGGTGTACCCAAATCCAGAAGATATGGTTCTCAGATATGTCACCTCTGTCTTTGAATCATGATATCTGCTTCCTCTTTGTAATTGTATTCTGTCACATCAGACTCACTAGACACAGTGAAAAAACACACCAGACCATGGGCTACTTCGCCGCCCTACCCTGGGCTACTTCCTTCCTCCCCCTACCCCGTCCTCGGGGTGTCTATACTCATGACGTCGTGTCCCCCTTGTGGAGACTGTACTGAGTGCGTCTGGGTTTCTTTTCGTTCGGGAGCCTCCGTGCTCTCCTCGTCCTTCTCCCTCCATTCTCCGGTGGCCAGCCAGCTTTTAAAATCCCCGCCGACCTGGGAGGAGTTTACGCGCCCCGCCCCCTTGACATCCGACACGGCGCGTCCTCTTTCCCCGTCTCGCTGGAGGGGCTGAGTTCAACTCAGCTGTGCTGGGACGACCCTCAAGCTGAGCGGCGGCATCAATCAGCTGAGCCGCGGCGCGAGAGCAACTGGCGCACCAGCGGTAAGTGCTCCGCTGCCCCTCTGCAAGGGCGCAAAGTCCCAGGGGTTGGGTGCGGGGTCTCGGTGCCCCGTCACACCTCCCAATACAAATTGTGGGTGAAAACAACTTAACTAGTTTTAAGAGCAAACTGGACAAACTGTATGGCTGCGTCTAGACTGGCATGATTTTCCGCAAATGCTTTTAACAGAAAAGTTTTTCCGTTAAAAGCATTTGTGGAAAAGAGCATCTAGATTGGCACAGACACTTTTGCGCAAAAGCACTTTTTGCGGAAAAGCGTCCGTGCCAATCTAGATGCGGTTTTGCACAACAAAGCCCCGATTGCCATTTTCGCCATCAGGGCTTTTTTGCGCAAAACGGTTCTCAGTTGTCTACACTGGCCCTCTTGTGCAAAAGCATTTGTGCAAGAGGGCTTTTTCCCAAACGGGAGAGTCATTGTATTTGCGCAAGAACACTGATGATCATACATTAGATCGTCAGTGTTCTTGCGCAAATTCAAGTGGCCAGTGTAGACAGCTGTCAAGTTCTTCCGCAAAAGCAACTGCTTTTGTGGAAAAACTGGCCAGTCTAGACACAGCCTATGAGTGCAGTTATATGACAGAGTTGCTTGTGAAGGTTGGGGGTATGATTCATCAACCCTGGAGCACATTTCTAGTAATATATCTTAGGTTCTTAAAGAGTACACTTCAAGGCTTCAGCCTGCCACCGGTAGGGATCAAGAAGAGATTTTTCCCCTTCTGGGAGTTTCTTTTTTTCTAGCTAATTCCCATGAAGGATCTGAGATGTCCACAGAGATGGAACATTGTAGGGAGTGAACCAGGGCTCTCAAATGGCACCTAACATTCTCTCAGGGCCTTGGCTATCTGGTTTTTGCTCACATGTTCAATGTCTAACCGATCATTGTTAAGTAGGGTTGGGAAGTAATCTTCCCCATGCCAAATTGGGAAGTTGGGAGTTCTCCTTCCTCTGCAGCATGCAGGGCACTTGCCAGGTTCTCTGAGTATATTTCATTGTTTCCCTGTCATCACCAGGCTCTTGAGCATCAGTGCAGGTTGGTCCCCTCTCAAGCTCTACTTGTGGCATAGAATATTATAGTTTTCTGTGGGGAGTGGTAATCCTGGGTTCTCATTTCAGTTGTTGGGTCAGGTGCTCAGTGATGACAGTTGTTTGTGGTATCCAGGAGGTCAGACTAAATGATCAAGTGGTTCCTTCTGGACTTAAACTCTATGGCTGCGTCTAGACTGGCAAGTGTTTCCGCAAAAGCAGCTGCTTTTGCGGAAAAACTTGCCAGCTGTCTACATTGGCCGTTTGAATTTCCGCAAGAACACTGACGATCTCATGTATGTTGCTCCTGTTCGGGCAAAAGCCCTCTTGCGCAGATGCTTTTGTGCAAGAGGGCCAGTGTAGACAACGCGGTATTGTTTTGTGCAAAAAAGCCCCGATTGCGAAAATGGTGATTGGGGCTTTCTTGCGCAAAACTGCATCTAGATAGGCATGGACGCTTTTCCGCAAAACGTGCTTTTGCGCAAAAGTGTCCTTGCCAATCTAGATGCTCTTTTCCGCAAATGCTTTTAACGGAAAAACTTTTCCGTTAAAAGCATTTGTGGAAAATCATGCCAGTCTAGACGTAACCTATGACTAAAACCCAGTCATTAGAATTCATCCTTTTCCTCCATGGCCACAGTCTGTGGGAGGAACCTCAGCTGCTATAACCCATCATAGCATCATCAATGTCAGTGAAACTGTACCAGTTCCCACAAGTTAACATTCCACATCTGACAGCATCCCACTGACAGCTTTTCCTTTTCAGCTTTGCTTGGTCAAACCTGGGTATTTAGAGTGCGCTCCTCAGTACTACACTTTGATGTATGTAAATTTTGACACTTGTACTGCACAACCTACACTTTCATTGTAAATGTATTCAAAAGATAAAGTTAGTATAATTATTTATTTGTATTATGGAACCCCAAATGAGATCAGGACTCCTTTGTGCCAGCTGCTGTACAAACATACAGTAAAAACCAGCATCAGCTCCCAAAAGTTTAAAATTTAACTCAACGCAACACAGAAGGATCGAGAGAGGAGATTTAACACTCAAGCAGAGGGAAACGATATGTTTGGTTACAAATGCCACTTTTGGGGGGGTTTGTTGTTTTTAAAATTATTTTGGGGTAGGGTTTTGTTGGAAAGGGATTAGAGACAAAGGAAGGGGAGATTTTTGAAAGGAGGGGAGAATAAAGGGGACAAGGAAAAAGAGAAGAGGGGAAAGAAAGGGAGCATGGAAGGCAGGTGCAGTTGAGGTTGAGGAGAAGGGATTGCAAGAGAATAAGCTGCAACAAACAGGCAATCAGTATATCTAGAGCAACAACTGTAAAAAAACAGGTAACATCATGAGTATCTGAAAGTCCCTGCTGTAGCTACTTGCAGCTCTCGATGGCTGAGTTTCTGCATGCCCTTCCCAGCAATTTTTCTCCTCTGAGTTCGTATGATTGGCATGAGTTCTGATGCCCCCAGTGACAGTGGTGGGGGACTTATATCCTGCAAAGTACTGGATTCAGGAGAATAGGTAACCTGGGCTGGATATCAACTCTCCTTCCTACTGCCTCTCATGGTACGAATACCTGCTACAGCTGCCTGTCTCTGTGCTTGTCAGCTCTTTTCTGGGTGACCCCTCCTGACAGAATCTAAGTTCTGTTTTCCAGGTAGCATCAACTGTCTTACTATTTACGAAATAATCATACATGGCAGGCAGGAGGGTAAAACACATTTGTTCTGTGCCTTCAGTTTGCAAAAATGCAGAGTTTGTCTTTATCAAGGACATAGATGCTAAAATTCTATTCTATGATTTACTGTAGTTGCTGCTAGTTCTAACAAACTGTGCTGAATGAAAATCCTTTAAACTCCAGAGAGTGGTGAAATTCAGACTCTTTGTGCATTTTACTGTCATCTTAAAATGGCAGTTCCTTGTTTAGACCAGTGGGCATCAGAATTGCAATAAATAAATAAAAATAATCACCCTAGTATGCCAGCCTGTAGGTACATTTATACCTGCAAAAAGTGCTGGCATTTTTTGCAGGGAACTGATATACGTCATAAAAACAGAAGCACTTTGTTGTTGTTTGCCAGTACAGCTGCACTGGTTCTCTACACCAACAAACCCTTTGCACTGAAGACAAGGCCTAAGACATACAATATTAGGAATCTCATGGGAAAGCCTCTTTGCTTAAAAGTCTCAACAGTAGTGGAGGGTTTAAAAGATTCCATTTTAGAGGTACTATAAAAATAACGCTGCTGAACATCAATTCTAGTTAAGGGTAAGAGACTGAAACTATATGCTGTTTCCAGTTGATTTCTTAAATTTTGTACAGGCTGTAATCAGAAATAACACGAAAATGGTTAAATAGGAACTCCTGGATGAAATCAGAAAGCACAGAGTCTGCTCAAGCAAATATGTTTGTAGCAACAATACGAAAATATGTAACTATGCCAAGAAACTTGCTCTGTACATCACACTAAAATACACATTGGCTACTCTGCCTCTTTAAGTTTGCAGCACAAGTTTACATTAATATTATACAGAAAGCACAGTGGGAAAAAGGGAAAGGCTTCTTTAAAGGAGAAAAATGCAAATACCTGTTCACAAAATTCACCCCAAATATATAAATTTTAATTGGCATTTTCATTTTATTATTTAACCTATCCTGCTTGATCTCCCTACTTTTGGTTAATATGGGAGTCAGTTACAGCTTCATCTGTGCAGAATTAACTTTATGGAATGCACACTGGGGATTTGTCTATCTTCTCTATTTAGATCTGTGTAATAAAATATATGTAGTAGAAAAGCGTGCAGGCACTCCATGTGGCACAGACTTTGCAGATTTATTGTAAAATCATTTTAAATCAGTTTTAAGCTCTTGCCAGCAGTTAATTAAATATATTTCTTTTGGGGTTGGGGGGAATTGGTGTGTGTGTGGGGGGGGGCTTTCTGTCTCACTAGGTGGCAGTGTATGATTACATCTGGAAGGACCATGCCAACAAGTCTGGTGTCTCCAGCTGTGACCTCCAGTGCCAGAATGAAATCTCCGAATCTGAAGCTCGCTCAGGGGAGATCACTGTCCATGTGTCTATATTCACTGTTCATCTCAGTGGCTTTCAAGAACTCTATAGACATTTCCTCAGACTACCTGATGGGGCTATTGTTGAGGTAGGTCCAAATATTTTACATTCTGTGTTTGCACATACAGACACTTAGGGTATGTCTAGACTACAGGATTTTTTTGAAAAAATTAGCCTTTTTTCGAAATAACATCACCTGTGTCTAGACTGCATCTGCGTTCTTTCGAAAGTAAATCTAAAGAAAGCAGTAGCCTTTTCGATTGCGATAAACCTCATTTTACGAGGAATAATGCCTTTTTCTGAAAGTACTCTTTTGAAAAAAGGCGCTATAGAATGAAAACTGTGCTTTTTCAAAAGAGAGCGTCTACACTCTCTTTTGAAAAAGCCGCTTGCTCTTTCAAAAAATCTGCTTGAAGTCTAGACACTCTCTTTCAAAAGAGACTTGTAGTCTAGACGTAGGCTAAGAATAAGTCAGTGTCATGGAAGTATTAAGATATCACAGCAAGACAATGGGTTCAGCCTGACCTCTCACAACCATACCCAAAGTAACACTTAGCTGGTAGCTAATTTAGGGTAAAATAAAACATTTTGTGCATTTGGTTTGAAAACACTTTTTGAAATGAACACTATCAGTGTTTTATAGAGCTATTTAAATGTAAGTGTTAAAGTAAGTGCAAAATATACAAACTATATTGGTATGACCTTATATGCATACTGCATACAATCATATGAATTTGTGTAGGACAATCCTGTGTCAAATATACAGTATATGTATTTCATACACTGATAGCTCTGTACTGTAGTTGACACAGAGTTTTTCTACAGAGGTATGTACATAGATAATTGGTGCAGAATGATGATATTTGGGTAAGTTCACCGGTATTATTTATATTATTTATTCAGGTTATAAATGAGTCACTAAGCTTTCTTTATAGAATTTGTTCTAATTTTGTTGGACCACTCTTTGTCATATTTTTTTGCATATTGCAAGTAGCTCATACAATAAAAATCCAACACTTCTCTAACTGAAGAAAAATTCCAAGCTATGACTCATTTAATATCTTGCATTTGTTCAGTCACATTGTAATATATGGCTTTTTCTTTTCAGATGTATTTCCTCATTGGTTATATTCCAGTAGACGTAGGTCAGCGATTCTCAAATGTTAGCAATCTGAGGACCCCATTTTGATTTATTTATTTTTTTGTGGATTTCCAAATCCCATCCCCACTCAGCTGTAGGCCCCATTCCCACTTCACCACTGCCTGTCCTCTTCCTGCCTTGTTCCATCTCCTCCCCCAAGCACACCCCTATTGCTCTTCCTCAGACCTACTGAAGAACAAACCTGGATAAAGGGTGGGCTGGAGCAGTATTGCTTTTGGGGTTGTCTAATGGCACAGATTATTTAAGAATAAGGTAATATTCATACACATACATCACATTCATGCTGGCAGTTTGGAGGCAGGCTACAAGTGCGGTGTAGACTACTTTTGATTTCACTGGTGACTGGAGTGCTGGCCAGGCATCAGCTTCCTGGAGACTCGACCATGATGTTCCTTGGGAGATCCCTTCAGAGGCTTTTATTCTCCCGGGCCAGTCCCAGGTTTCTGCTGTGATGTTACATTTTGTCCAGGAGAGAGAGAGAGGGAGAGGGAGATTTTCTGGCCACTTCTCAGTTAATTTATCTGCTTGCAGGGTCTTTGTCTGTGTTAAAAAGTCATGGATCCTAAACTGCCTTTTGGTTTGGTATTTTTCATTCACACCTCACACACATTCCACAGGTTACATACATATTCATAAGCAGTATGGTTTCTAAGCAAAGTTGGGCCTCATGATGGCCTTGAGGACAAGAAATTGCATTGTACTACAGATAACATACCAAAGGCATGATAAAAATCTTAACAAATTATAACTAAGAAAGCCAAGGTCAGGGAAGACGGGAAAAGCAGAGAAGTATGACTGGTCAGCAAGACACCAGTGAAGAGGAGGGAGGGGGGTCGTGCCCAACTGGTTAAAAGTCCCATCCCTGCTTCTCCACTTTCCTCCTAGCACCGCCTGCATGCTGCTGCTAAAGCCACTGCGACGGGGCAGGAGGAGTTGAGGGTAGGATAGAGGGGCTGGAAAATATTATAAGTATTTGTTCACTGGTATTTTAGAAATTCTGCAGGTCTCTTGTGTAATAACCAGTAGTACTGAATCTGACAAAATAAAAATGCTCAAGTTGTTTTATTTTCCATGAATTGTACGAGCTCACTAGTCTTCATTATCAAATATACTGTGAGCACAGTCATGGAAAATATATTTAATTTGCTCTGCAAAATGGTGCCCTCAAATACACATCCTCGGCTCCTATTCTTTTCAGCTGGAGTTACATCTGTGTATCTTAAGGAATAATTTGGCTTACATAAGGTGGTTTTGCATAAACCTATTAGGAAATTCTTAGCTATTTGTGATTTTATTATATTATCAGTATTACCCTGCTCCGATTCACTCCAGTGGGAGCAGCATTGGCCCCATGGCCCTAATTCAGCAAAGTACTTAAATGTGTTCTTTATTTTAAGCGGGGCCCTAACCCCATTGACTTAAAGTGAAAATTGAAAAAATCCATTAAAGTGAAGCATGTGCTTAAGTGCTTTGCTGAATCAGAGTTTACATCAACTCAGAAGAAATCTCTGTATAGATAATACTTTGTTTAAGGTACTTACTGTTCTAGATATGTTATTCCCATTAAAATACACTTTACTACTCTGACCAGTAAATTGATGTTTGATATGAAAAGTAGTTTCATAAGCATGAGGCAAACATGTTTTAAAAGGCAAATTCAGTGCAAGGTGACTTGAATAAATTCCTTTACAAATATTAAATAAAAATCCTTTCAAAAATTTGTGGCATGCAAATTATAGAGGTTAAACTTGCAAACTCTATCCTTTTGTCACAAGCATTATAAAACTGAGAATTCACTTGCAATAAACCACATTTTCCTTTTTTTTATCATGTATTTGCCCTTTACAGAGCTCAAGAAAGATGCTGTTTGCCCATGGAATGACCTCTCCCCACCCCTAAAAAAATTGTCATGCCTTTCCTCATTCATTAATCTTATATTATTTTAATATATGGAAAATTATTGAGTTCTAGCATTTAAAATGTATTTGAAATCCACACACAAAAAAGTTAATGCCGAAGATAAGTGTTTGCAGTCTACATTGTGATAACACTATCTCAGTGATATTTATCTTGACTTCTACTGGTGACTGGAGTTGATTTCTTATTAAAAGGGCAAAGATAAGTCACTTTAACTCAGCAAAAAAAATCAGTTTCTTATTATAGGCCTAGTAAACCTTAACATTGTAGAAAACCTTTTTATAGTATGATTTTATCTATCAAATAAACCTAAACAAATGTCAAGGATTCATCCAATTTAAATATACTGGATAAAAGAGATATGTTTCCCCTCATTATTTGAAATATACCTAGTGATAATAGAATAAGACAGTGTAGGTAACTAACCAATTACTTAGTGTAAGCTATTTACATTCATCCATATGCTATGAATTATGTTTAAACTCTCTTGCACTTCTGGAAAAGCGAATAAAATCATGTAAGTTTATTTTGAATACTAGATCAGATATAGTATGTTGAGTGACACTTAAAAAGAATGAAACAGTAACTGTAGCTTATTTTCTGAAGCAATCTTGACACTAATGCTAAATTACAGCTTGGAAACATCTAGCATTTTTACCTTTATGAGAAAAGGCTTTTTACATATTTAACATAATTCTAGGGAAAATATACTGGAATGATGTATAAAGATATGTACACTGTAACCAAAGGGCATTTATATTCCCCAGTAGAATACTTACAACAATTTTATTGCCATTTGGTGTCATTTTCTAACAGATATAAAATACAGCCAGTAAACAAACTAGACTTTAGATTTAAGCTGACAGCTGTTCCTACAGAAGCAATATTCAGATATTTAATCTTAAGAATACTGAATATTTTACAATTGTTTGAGCAAACTATACTTTTACAAAGCAGAGGCCTGTAAGCTTGTGTATACAGTATTAGGATCTGATGATGACATAAAAAAACAACCCTAGGATAATCTTCACGTTGGTTGCTTTTATATACTCCCTGGGAAAATAAACAGATTACCTCATGTTTTAACCTCATGTTTTATTCTTAATGCAACATAACCTTTTTATAGATTAAATGTTACTGTGCCTACTGTAGGCTAATTTCTTTTTTCTGTGGCAAATAACCAATGCTGTTAATTCTATTGGGGATGTCTCTGAGGGCAGGTTGCATCTCTGGCTTTATTAAGAGAAATATTTACCCTTATACAAAAGGCCTTTTGAGGCCTTCTACACATGGGTAACCAGATGTGGCCCAATATTTTTGGGTCCAAACTGATATTTGGGGCTTTGTCTTTTGGGCTGTGTCTAGACTGTAGGGTTTTTTCGAAAAAACTTCACCTGCGTCTAGACTACAGCTGCGTTCTTTCAAAATTAAATTGAAAGAATGCGGCTTTTCTTTTGATGGCGGTACTCCTCATTTCACAAGGAAGAACTCCTTTTTTCGAAAGTGCTCTTTCGAAAAAAGGCATTCTTGAATGCAACTACTACCTCCTGCCCCAGCCCTGATGCCATGTCTGAATTTCTCACACATGCAATCTGGTCATCCTATCCGTATGACAAAAGCCCCATGTTGTGCCTTCGATGGGGGGCTGACTGCAGCCGCCATTGGAGTGATGGGAAACCTTTATGTCATCCCAAATAGGGGTAGAGGATATAGGCTCACAGATTCACGGTTTTATGAACTCAGTGATCCTATAAACTCTACAGATAGAGCAAGAGAAGTTGTGACTTGAGAGCTATTTAAACCTGAACTTGTAGATTAAGGGCCATGATAAAACTCATGGGTTGAAGAGTGATATTGAGCCAAATTATCTTCTGTTGTACATAGATGCAAGTCCATTGGCTTCTATGGAGCTGTGCCAATATACTCCATCAGAAGAAATGGGAATTTTGCCACTGAATTCAAGTTTGTATGATCAGACTGCATGCTCATCATTCCATCACAATATTTGTTCATATTCAGATTAGAGCACTATATAGTGTTAATGATTAAAGAACACTCAATTCACAATCGGTATCAGAGTAAAGAATGACATGATGCATGCAGAATAAAAATGAAAGGTTTTTTTTAAAGAATTTCATCATCTTTCATTACTCCTTTTCTTCTATAAGCATTACAAGTAGTACTAATTTCTTGTGTTAATTTGTGAAAAGAGTTACCTGTTTAAAAAAATATTTTACTTAGGATAAATCATACAAGACTGAATTATACCTTTGAGTCATAACTACATATTGAGAAATTATCAATGCTCATAAGAAACTCGACATGGAAATGCATTTGGCCTGCAGGGAGCAGGGCTGCTAAACATGATCATTCTCCTCCTGTACAGCTTTCACTGTCAAAACTTCTCTAAACCAAGGTAGTGTCCCTGTTGAGGAGAATCCACAGAGCCAGTGAATATAGAAGATGTCTATTGGGAAACAGCATTTCTTGTTTGTTTGGAGCCAAACTCTGTGGTTCTAAAGAATAAGCAGAAAGCTGATGAGATATTTCCACCATGGACTCATGGCATGATGTGAGTGCTGTAAAGTAACTAGCAAATCAGAGGAATATGTGCTCAACACAGCATGACATCCTAGCAATGTAAATGGCATCCCCACTCCCATTTTTAAATTGTATTAATTTCTTTAGTCCAGGCTTAGAGGAAAGGGAGAGATACACAGAACTATGAGCATTTGAACTCGTGAATTTGAATTTATTTTCCACTGAGTGCTGGGGAGTTAAAACTCTATCATTTGAATCTTCATGGACAGGAAATGCAACATGGAAGCAACCTCTGCCAATGTGAATTCATCTAATGGAAACAAAAACTCATGGGGATAATGTTGTGATAGATGCACAGTTCTACTTTATAAAAAAGCATTATTACTCACAATAAAGATGCATTTTAAAAGTGCACTGCCATTTTTCTCAGGTTCTCTCCTTCTTCCAACACATTTTGAACATACAAATTTGATCTGAATGAGTATTTTGTGACTGACTGTGCTATATGCTCAGGGTAGCCTACTGCTTTAACATGCATTTAGAACTTGTCAATGTTTATAATCTTTATTCATTTATCACATATTTTGCTTAAATCAGCAGTATCTGTGCAAAGGATAATTGCCAAACTGTATCAGCTAATTTTACCTAAATAAAAAATAACCTTTGAAAAAGTACCTTGCAGCTACACAAATTGATAAAATCCATCAATTACATTTTTTCCCTCAATTTATAATTACACAGTAGTAACTGTAAAGTGAACTTTAGTACATGGTTGATTAATTATAAGTTTACAGACATTAAGCCACTTTCAGAAACAACAGCTTGGTCTGTAATTAATTTAATATTACAACTTTGCCAACATCTAATCAAATCAAAAAATTGAACTATGTATACAAGCTGCAATTTTGAATTTGTAGACATGGGACGTCTAAAGTGTGATATAGCAGTTTCCCTTTTCTTGGACAAGCTAGTTTATAACTGAGCTATGGAACAATAACCTATTTATCATACTGAAGTGAGCACAGGGTTTCACCAAGAGCAAAGGGTGACCAGGTTTCCACTTAGAAAAAAAAAAGGCTTTTCCAGTGACTTCCAAATATTTCCTGTTTCCACTCATTTGCTTGTGTCCTTGGAAATAAAAACCTTTAAAGAGTATTCTGCACTAGAGAATTAGGAACAGGGTCTGTGAAGACAGAAATGTTTCTATAAATTATCATACAGGAGTTGGTGGGAAATTTTGCTATTTTACAAAATGAAATTGGTTTCTGGAGCCTTGGAATCAATTTGTTTTTCCTTCTTCAATTGTCTTGTCTGATCTTGTGAAAATTCTTGAGCTCAGATCTTCAAAGGTATTTAAGCTCCTAAATTGTCTGAGGATCAGGTTGCCAACACTCCAGGATTGTCCTGGAGTCTCCAGGAATTAAAGGTTGATTTTTAACTAAACATAATGTCATCTGATGAAACCTAATGGAATTCATCCAACCAAAGTTGGCAACACTATGGGGATCTGGCCTTTAGTCTTTGTGTGCCTCAGTGTCCCACCTGAAATAAATAATTATGCCTAGTTCTTATATTGCAAGTTAAATGAAATAAGGATAATAGTACTGTTGCATTTTACAAGGGTGTTGTGATCATAACTACACTAAAAATTGTAATGTGCTCATTTAATGAGAACTTTATAAATACCTATAATAGATAAGAATGTGGGAAAACCTATTGTCAGCATTTTATTTACTCCCTTCCTTAACAAATATTGGCTAGTTGACTGCAGCAACTCAAAACCATAAGAAACTGAGGGTACATTTACACAGCAGCACTATTTTGGAATAACTAGTGTTATTACAAAATAACATAGTGTGCATCTACACCATAAGCCTTTATTTCAAAATAATGTTGAGTTGGAAGACTTCTTACTCTTACTCATGGTAACACTCATTTCACGAGGAGTAATGAAAGACGAAGGAAGAGTGTTCTTCCTTCAACTTCCTGTTGTGTAGACAGCATCAAAAGCCGAATTAAGCTATTTTGACTTAAGTTATGCAATTGACATAGATGAAGTTGCATAGCTTAATTCAATTTTAGCCTTGCTTTGTAGACATACCCTAAGATTTATGACGTGCATTTAAAAGATGTTGATTTATTACCAGAGGAACTTACTTATTCCACCACTAAGCTGATGTAGTAGAAAAGAAAGTATGGGCTATAACTGAGTCAACCTGTGTTCTAGTTGCAGCTTTGACACGTACCTATCTGTACGAACTTTGGCTTAGTTTTGGTGTTCATATATGGAAAATGGGGATAATAATTCTTACCTCCTTGGTGAAGCATTTTCAGATTTATGGATAAACAATGCTATAGAAGACAATGGTCATGTTTAGCATTTGATAAATGTTGCCAATTTTTAATTGCAATTTTCCATGCATAAATCACAATCTTTTAAAGAGTTATTAATAATTTAAAACTGTTTTTCTCCATCACATGCTCCAACTTCCTCTAGGCCTTGTGGGATGTTCAAGATGTGCCCTGCTTGGAACATCCATGGAGTTGGTGCCTATGTTTTCTATACTGGGGCTATGTCTAGACTCTGCCACATCCAGGGAACACTTCTGCTCTTCCGCTTTTTTTTTTTTGCAGAAGAGCAGACGTGCTCTTTTGGAAGCCCTGTCTTCCTCCTCGCACAAGGAAGAAGAGCTCCTCTGAAAGAGGATTTTTTTTTTCTGAAATTTGGCCCAGTGTAAATGGGAAAAGCATACCTTTTTCCCATAGTGTAGACATAGCCTGGGACACTAGAGTGTTGCTCAGCCTACAATCAGATCTAATAGATCTGTGTTCCTACTGCAGTGCATTAGTGTGTGCAGCAGATATTTTGACTGTGGGGTAAATAATTGGAGAAATTATTGCAAACATTTGTATTCATTTTGAACCCAGCTTTTGAGGGATGAAGATGCATCTTGCAGGAACTGTTCCAGGATTGAATGACCTCACATCTTCATAAACTGTTTCTGCCTGAAGTATGAGTCTGAAATTTGCTTTCTGCTAACATAGAAATGAGCAAAATTTATTTCATATGAATGCTCACAAAAATGAACAACATCAGGGTCTGGGTACCTATATAAATTATACAAGTTGACCTATTATGTGGTAGCAGTTGCTGAGTTGGGTTAGATTTGAATCAGTGACCTGGAAGTGTTGTATCCTATTACCAGTCTTATAATAATCCGTCAAGTGGCCCTGATTTTTTTAATTTAAGGGACACTTCCGAATTCAGTTAATTTTTTTCCATATATCAAGAATAATATAAGATGCAATTATAAAAGGATACAACAATAACAATAATTTCCATTCTATTGTTTTATCTGAGCATTCTAGATTCTGAGCAAAATTAGGCGAATTCACATTTCACATGTGTTTAAATTGCTAATTTTGCCACTGTTATCTGTATGAGTGAATATATGTACGAGAACTCTTACTCTATAGTGTTTTGGCAGTACTGTTATAAAAATTGTTATAAAGTCTCGGAGTGGAACTGAACCATGAAACCCAAATTGTAAGTTGCTGCTGAGCTGGGTTATTAGTATGACAGTACCAAATTTCACACACAAAGAGACTTTCAAGCTATAATATTTTAAAAAGGCAAGGAGGAAGAGAAATGAAAGCAAACTCATGTCTGTGTCTTCTAACTTCATATTTAACTGAACTGGGCCATTGTAATGTGTCTGGGTTTTATACTTTCTGTTTTTTCAGGCATTTGGTGATATTAGTGGAGTAAGTCTTTTATATGATGAAGTGAGCACAACCATTCAAGAACATGTAAGCGAAATGGACAATGTGCTGGAAACCTCTTCGGTTATCAAGAGGAGGGAAAGAAAAAAGAATACAGCCAGGTGGAAAGGTATTATTTTCAATGACTCTGCCTCTTTTGAGTGTGCCCGTTATGTCAAAATATATCGGGCTAGCTATTCCGATGTCTCTGTAAAACTCATTCCATGAAGAGTAAGGAATGTTTCAGAATAGCGGTTTATTTCAAAATAAGTACTGTGAAGACAGCTCCAAATTTCGAAATAAGCTATTCTGAAGTAACATCAAAATGAGATACACAATTTGCATCTTATTTTGACCCACAGTGCAGTGTAGATGCACCCCGACTGACTTTGAAATTATCCGTACTCTTTTATAGCTCATGCTGCTTTATATATGCATGCTGGCATTTTCTCTAAGTACACTTTCGCCTCGAAAAAAATAGGCCCCCTATCATTTTTGACTGCACTTAAGTAGCGAGTTGCTGTTTATCTCAGTATGACGTTTTTAGTCTGTCACAAGGGTACATCATGAAGAGAGAACAGCTGTCATTCTTTCACTAGGGAACATCAAAGATCATAACATTTTCCACACGGGAATCTGGTACAGCAGTAATACAATTGAGAAAAGTAGATCTAGAACAAAAGTCAACATTTAAAATGTGCTGCAGACATAAATCAGCTGCTTGATTTATAATTAGGTAAACAGTGTGTGTGTGTTTGTGTGTTTACCCATGAATATATATACTATGGCTCCAGTCTTACAAGGAATTCTGCTGCATTTAACTGTATACACTGAAATACACTGAACTACTTAATAAGTGTAATGTTAAATTCATGTGTAAATCTTTGCTTGGATTGGTGCCAGTATATGTCTCTCCACTAATAACTGTAGTAGCAGCCCATGACAAAGTAGTAGCAAAGTATTAAATGATACAGAATTATCATAATGACTTAATTAAACCTAGTCATTAATATGAACTATATATTTATTTTATCCCCGTATACAAAGCCTCAGTCCTACATCAGAATCCAGAAGCAAACTACACTTCTGCTAATTCCCCATGGATTTCAGTGCTTCTCCACATATACAGAAATGCTGTCAGTGCCCAAGTTTGGATAGAAGTGTCATGCAGATAATGATGGTTGAATCTTTAAAGGTTCAATATTTCAATTCAGATGAGCAAACAAAAATGAACAGAGAATTTTTAGTGAAAATAATGGAGATTGATACATAGCCAGTTGCTCAGACTTCTTGCTGATGAGGAAAAAAAACACAGCAGATGGTATGGTGTCAATCGTCTGATTATTTTATATGTCTCTTTTTAACTTTAGGGGCTCCTTTTGTCTCCTGCAAGAACTAAGTCACCAGGAAGAATGCTCAGTTCATTGCACTTTTTGCATCCTGCGTCATCTTCATAATCTGCATCCTTATCCAATAAGACATCCACTTCTGTTCACAGCTCCATGTGCATAGACCTGTAGTTGCTTAGTACAGCAAACACTGTGTGCAGAAACCTCCAGTTGTTTTCAATGACTGGTGGCACATCAGATCCCATATATAAACTGCAAATACAAATTCTGCATTTGAGTTCCTCACAAAATATCAGGCTATTCCTACTGGGATCTCCAACTTCATGGGCTTTATTTGTATCTGTTTCGTTGTAAAGGTGTGTGTGGGGGGGGGGGTTATTGATTTGCATTTCAGTCTTCATGAATAACATACTACTGTATTTGACAGTCATTTTTCAAAGCACTACAATGTCATGGTTGTAAGATGTAAGATTCAAAGCAGGGCAAAAATATCTTCATACCACTGTAATCACCCTTAATGTTGTGTCCAGCCTCCAAGCCACCTCACAGTCCATGAAGCCCCAAAGAGGCCATTTTCCTACTCATGACCACTTCACTGGGAACCCCAGCATTTCTGCTACCCAGGGATGGAGTTACTAGCTGTAGGCATTATTATTGTTGTTGTTATTATTTATTGCAGTATCCCTAGATACTCTAACTAAAGAAGGGGTCCATTGTGCTGGGCACTGTACAAACACATAAGCAGAAAGTCCCTACCCCAGAAAGATTACACTAAAATTAGACAACAAAGCAAAAAGAGAGGCATATAGAAGTTAAGTGACATACCCCAGATTATACTGTAGGTCCATGAAAGAAGTGGAAATAGAGCTTAAATCTGCTGACTCCCAATCCTTTGCCCAGTCTCCTGATCAAAGCTACTTTACTGTCCCTTTGTGCCCTGTTGAGGTACAACATGTCTGTAGTAAAGGAAAGTTTTTGATTCAGTATTTTCTACTATTCATGGAAAACAGTTTTCATATTTTTATTTTTATTTTAATATGAATGGAAGCTTTGCTCTTCTTTTATGATTAGGGTTTGCTGATGTTGCGGTGTATACACTGGTGCAGTAAAACTGCTTCAGATGCCTTGACTTTTTGTTGGATTTTTCTGAACATCTTATACTGTTTGATTAATTTTGATATATAGAGCTTTGGTTCTCAAATATCTGGAAATTATTAAATTACTTAAGGTGGACGTCAATGTCAACGTCAGTACCACTGGTGAATTGTCTTCTGCGGTGGCAAAATATTGTGAAGGTTTTCTTTCTTTATTAACTGGATTTTTTAAAAGTCCAGTAGAAGATCAAAGAAGAAAAATAAATCTCTGGTACAACTATAAATAGTGTTGTCCTTTGTTTTGGATTTTATAGTTTTAAAAAACACTTGAACAGCATCTTTCAGTGACCATCGAAATGAAATTGAATCTTTAATTTTCACTTAGTCTTTAATTTATGGTTGAGAGTTTTGAAGTGGGAAAGGCTTCCTGTGGGTGCTATTTCTTTGGAGAAAATCAAAGGAAAGTCCTCGGATTTTTCAGTGGAATTCTTAAATTTGAGCTGAGCAACATTTCTTGTGCCTAATGTACCAATATCAATTCATGGCTTGTACAGGTATATCAACACAGCAGATTTTAATGTGCCAGACTGTGACCTGCACAACTTCAATTTAAGTACAGTGGAAATATTACTTTTATCAGATA